CACCACCCTCCATCCTTCCTCTCTCCAATTGATATTTCAAATAAACATTTGTAGGTTGGCCAAGAGCGGGGGCTGGTGGCATAAAACGCTGCCCCCGGCCTTCCATTGTACATCCAAGATGCACAGGCCAGGAGCTTCCTCAGTTCCTCTCTCCCCACCTACAGCTAATCCTTCCCTGAGTTCTACTGGTTGGACAGGCCAGTATCTCTCTGTCACTACCTACTCTGTCTCAGTTGAGGCTCCATTGTTTCTTTCCTGGTTTTCTTTAAAAAATATTTTTTTTTTAGCTGATCTTGCCTCCAGAGCCCTCTTTTATAATTCATGATGCACCTGTTACTCTTCTGCTTCAATAGTCTTCTAGCCTACTCACCACCCTCAGGAGGCAGGCAAACTCCTTAGCCCAGTCACAGCCTGCGGCAGAAGGTGCCTTCCAATGCCCTCCATCCCATTTTTTGACCCCCTCCTCCTCTACTCCAGTTCTGAGAAACCACTTGCAGTTTCCAAACCAAGCTCTAGCGTTTCTCCCCCTTAGGATTTTGCAAATGTCACTATCTGCTATAAACACCTTACCTTCCTATCTTCCACCAGGTAACCGCTTCTTGTCTTTCAGGACTTCGTTCACTGTGGGAGAAAGGCATGGAAGGCTTTGCCATTTCTGAGAAGTGTTCCTTCACCTTCTCCACTCCCCCATCTGTATTAGGCATTGTGGCTTCCATGGTACTACATTGTAACCATGTGTTTACTTGCCTCTCTTCATATGCCCCTAAATTTCTCCAGGACAGGGACTCTATCTCCTTTTTAATTCATAACCAACATACATTATTGTTTTCTGTGTTTAAAATTTTTACACTATTCTGCTACATGTTTTTTCACCTAAGATTTTGTTTTTGAGATTTCTATATGTTAACACACGTTAATATATTTCATTCAATTTACTTTTTATTTTATTTATCTTTATTGTTGAAAGTATAACAGATATCCCCCTTTTTTTCCCCCATTAATCCCCTCCACTCCGCATCTGCCCCTCCCACAGGCCTTCACCACACTATTGTCTGTGTCCCTGGGTTATGCAAATATGAATATGTTCTTTGATTAATCTCTCCCCACCCACTCCCCCACCCCTGCCTTCCTACTGAAATTCATCAGTCTGTTCCATGCTTCTGTGTCTCTGGATCTATTTTGTTCTCAGTCTATTTTGTTTATTAGATTCCACAT